TTTAAATTATTTAAATATTTAAGTAACACATTTTATTTAAATTTATTGCAAAAAGTACTATATATATATATATTAAAGGGTATTTTTAAAGAAAAAAATTAAATTGTATGATTATATTAAAGTATATTTATAAATTAAATTGTATGATTTTTAAAATAAAATAAAAAATATAAAACTACTATTTATGGGCTGCATTAAATGCTGACCTATTTTTTTGCTACTAATTTTAGTAAATATGATGGTTATTTATATAACTATATATATAGATATAGATAATGTAAAATAATATTGATATGAAAATATTATTTAAGGTAATTTATCAGGAAAAGAGTAAAATAATCATTTGTAGTTATAAGAATACAAATGATTAAATAGTAATTTTTTTAATAAATTTGTAGAATGTTTGATTCTAATTAATCATTGTAAGAGGTCAAACGGGAAGCAGTGGAGATGCACGACCATGTCCATGCTAGAATTATATTATTCCATAGATTTTGGCTCATATTAGCAGATTGAGATTGTATCAGTTTATTTCTAAAATTCTGGATGTATCATTTTATTCCATAGATATTGATCTAACCAAATTTTGAAAAGTGAATAAAAATCGGATTGTATCAATTTATTTCTAAAATTCTGGATGCTCATTAATTTCTTATCCAAAATTGTCCTAAAATTCTAAATTTAGCATGTAATTAATGAATTTGACGAGAAAGAGTTTCTAAAAGTGAATTATGTTAATTCTTATTATATATTAATACATTTCCTAATTTTACTAATTTTAGGTAATTTTGAGACGTGTGTCCCAGTTACCAGTGAGTGCTCAATCACTCTCAACTTATTACCAAACCCATGTCAAAATGTTATGTCCAAAGTACGAAATGCAGATTTCACGAAAATAATACTACCTCCTATTATTTTAAATGTAATTTTAGCATTATCAACTATTAATAAAAATAAATATTGTTTTTGATATTTTGTACATATTTTTTCATTATTACATTCATATAACTAATAAATACACTACGTCTTTTTATATTTATTTTTTCATCTTTTCTCATAACATTCATCTCTATCCTAATTACTAAGGGTTATGGCAAAAAAATATTCTTAATAACTGTGCAACTTTTCAAAATGACACTATTATGAATAAGAGGGAGTAGAGTTAAACTTGTGTTCAAACTTAAAATTAAAATAAAAGTATAATATTTTTTAATGTGATTCTTGAATTAAGAGACCATATATGGTTTAAATAATAATAATAATAATAACATAATAAGATCATAAAATAATTATGTGCACGTGGTCATTATGTCATCCTGAAATTAATTTTAGAAAATATATTGTCAACATTATTTTAAGACCTTTTTCATTTTAAATTAATAAATGGACTCCTTCTGTTTTGGAATAATTCAAACTCAATTTTGAAATATTTTTAATATAAATTAGTCAATAGCTCCTATATTTGCAATTAAATACATAATTCCGGTCTTGTTTAAAATATGACTCAGCTATATAACTTTAAAAAATGACTAGTGTTGTTTTCAAATAATAATAATAATAATAATAATAATAATAAAAAAAAAAAGAAAATGTTTCAATTAGTTAGAGCATTTAATTGCAAATATTCAAAAGCTAGACTGAATTTGTGGCAATTTTAAACAACTTCGTTTGGTAAGATAAGATTTTTTAAAAAGCTTGAGCTTATCTCTGCTATTTTTGGTAAAACTAGCTAAACTAGTTGACTAGCAAACTTATAGCTTGTATGGAATTTTCGAGCTAATAACTTATAGCTTATGATTTATAGCTGAAAAGCTAGCTTATACGATAAAAGTGTTTAGTAAAATTAGCTGATAAGCTAGCTGAAATAAAAATTTCAACGAGCTTATTTGAAAAGCTACCCAAAGAAGCTTGCCAAAGAAGCTCAAACTTTTTAAAAATCTCGTCCTACCAGACGGGGCTTATTTGAATACATAAAATTCATAAGCTAACTAAATAAGTTATAAACTAGCTTATTTGTCTACCAATCATAGCCTAAACCGTTGTGTGTTTAAAAGTAGTAATTAAACTCTTTTTTTTTTTTTAATTTGTATTTTTTATTTACGATTTTGCAATACTTTTTTTCTCAATACCTTTTTTTTTTTTGCTAATGAAAGTCTTATATTTGATGAAAGCCAAAGTGCATAAGTCAAATTGATATCTTACCAAACCCTAAAAAAAAAATGTCCAAAAATTGATTTTGTTTAAGTTGACTTACAAATTAACGTGAATTTAAAATTCATTATATCGGCGATACTTTGAAAAAAAGGATTAGCATTAATCGTACTAATTAAAACTCCCAAGGGAGCAATCATATAGTAATTAGGATTCTTTCCTATGCTAACTTTGTTAAGTATCCTCATATGGTCTTTATTTATGTTTTCCGTAATTTAGATAGCTCAATCTTTTTATAAGAATAAGATTAGAGAATCGGGGCAAGAGGGTGCGGTCCCACGCCATAAGAGGGTGAGCTTAGGTGCACCATAGTGAGTTTCCATCCCAAAACTAATTGGTGATGGGATGAGTAGAACTTACTTGACTTATATACTAGACTCATTTTCCCTATAGAATCAATGTGGGACAACTCACAAGTGATATTTCAATACGCCCCACTTGTGAGTCCTTCATAAACCCAAGCACAGAGCAGGCCGGGTAGAGATAGAAACCCAAGCAGGAGTCGACCTGACTCTGATACCATGTAAGATTAGAGAATCGGGGCAAGAGAGTGCGGTCCCACGCCATAAGAGGGTGAGCCTAGGTGCACCATAGTGAGGTTCCATCACAAAACCAATTGGTGATGGGAGAAGTAGTTCACTTGACTTATATACTAAGCTCATTTTTTTCCCTATAGAATCAATGTGGGCAGTGGCGAAACCAGCCAGTCATCCCGGGGAGGGCCCAATTTGCCGCGGCGCACCACCCCCACTCCGGCATTGGAAGGGCGCTCAAAGGGCTTTTGTGGAAGCTCTCAAAAATTTTCGCAGAATATAAGTAAATACTCTAGAGATTTTTCTAAAAAACAAACTAAATCTAGAATTAAGCTGGTATACTTAAACTGAATTGTTTTAACTCGAAAAATACTCGAATTTATACTAATAAAAATCTCGGACTCAATTATAATAATAATCAAGAATTATACCTCCTTTCGAATAGATGAAAAGCTGAAAAATTGAGAAAACGAAGCCTCGAACGATCGAACTCGTCCTCGACAAATTTGCTCATTTTGATACTATTTAACGCAGAAATTCAAACTCCCATAATAAATGCTCGGAACTCCGAAAAATGCGAAATTTATCTGTATGAAATCGTGCTTGAATTGTCTACACGCTCCAACTCGATTCTCGTTAAACCGAGGTCATACGCAACCTTGTGGAACCCCGCAAAACGGCTTTTTATTCTTCTATTATGCGCACTCGACTTCGAGCTTCTCAAAATAAATGCTCGAAACTTCGAAACATGAAATAAATTTTACGAACGACTTATACTGTTCTTTTGCTTTCAAGAAAGCACTCCCGCTAATTTTCAGCACGCCTAACGAGGGCCGACGGTTACCCGAAGTCTAGACATGAAAAAAAAAATAAAATCACCGCCACTGCCATTTTTCTCTCAACTTCGGGCTACCCAAAATAAATGGTCGGGACCTCAAAATCATAAATCGATGCCACCAACGCACTCTCCGCTTCTCGTACTTTTATAAAAGTATTTTTCGGTAATGATCGACTTGATTTTTGAGTCCCGTCGGTACACCGCAAGTCGGCTAATTAACCAACTCAAAATATAATAAAAATGAAAAAATTATTAAACTCTGCTGCTGTTATAGTTCTCCTTGTCCCGAAACCAGGATCCCGTTTTGGATGAGGACCCAATTTACCTTTAAAAAAATTTCACGACAAAATCGATGGCGTCCTTCCGGCCATGTATGTACCGCATGAAATCGGGGAGGACCCAACATGCACGCTCAAAGGAAAATCTTCTCGTTCCAGCAAAATCCTCCACCCCTAGTTTAATTTTTTTTTTTTTTTGGAGGGGCCGGCGCCTCTCCGAGGGCATGTGTAGTTTCTCCCCTGAATGTGGGAAACAGTAATAAATATTTGCCTGCCCAAATGGTTAGTCTACTAATATTTTCATTTTGTATAATCAAGTATATCATTTTATAATATGAATATATTTTTTCATTAAAAATAAAAGTCGATCTAACAAATAATTAGCCTAAGATAACTAATCATATAACGGCCAGTGTTCTTTTTTCTGAGTCGCGACTCACGAGCTCGAACCCCTTGACCCGATATAGTACTGGTTCAACGAGCTACTTTATATTGCTACATCAATATTCATATAATTTTACTATACAATAATATTATTATTATTATTATAATATATATTATTTTTATGGGAAATATTATGGTTCTGTTACGATATCATCCCGTTGGATATTTTAACCGATGATACATGTAGTTAGTATAAGATAAATAATGGAACGGTTATAAAACATTGGTACCTTAACGACACTTTATTTTTCTTCGGTTATTACGCCTCAGCCCGAATAGTAGGTGGTTGTGCTTGTTTTTTATAGACACTAAAATACAACAGTGACTTCTTTTATTTATTATTTTTTTTTCTCCATTTTTCTGCTCTTTCTTCTCCACCAAAAATTACTAAACCGAAATAAATTCTATAAAATAAACAAAAAAAGAAATGGGAAATTGTCAAGCCATAGATAACGCAAGCATACTGATCCAGTACCCAAACGCCGCCAAAATCGAGCGGCTCTACGCCCCAATCGCCGCCGCTGACGTCATGAAAGCCAACCCCGGCCACCACGTCGCCCTCCTCCTCACCACCACCACCCTCTACTCATCCTCCTCCTCCTCCGCCGCCAGAGAGAGCAGAAGCAGCCCCCTTCGGGTCACTCGGATAAAGCTTCTCCGGCCGACCGATAATCTTGTTATTGGTCATGCCTACCGGCTTGTCACCGCCCAAGGTCCAGTCTTTTTTTCTGGGATTTTGCAAGAGAGCCCTCGAATTTTGATATAATTGTAAAGGGGCCTCTGAATTTTGTTTTCTGTATTATATACTTTTTATTATCTGCTTGGATGAGATGAGAACATTCTTTGCCACCTCCAAGGTTTGGTATTTTTTTGGGATATTGCAAGAGAACCCCTGAAGTCTGATGTAATTTTAAAGGGACCTCTGGATTTTGTGTTCTTTGTTATGCTTTTTACCTACAGATATAAATTTTCCCCCACCCAAGGTTTCGCCTGTTATTTATTTATTTATTTATTTTTGGGATATTGTAAGAAAACCTCTGAAGTTTGATCTAATTGTAAAGGGCCCTCTGGAATTTGTGTTCTGTTCTGTATTTTATTTTTATCTGCTTTGCTGAAAAAAAAAAATGATGAATCTGATTGGTCCTTAAATAGTCATGTATTTATTTATTTATTTATTTTCTGTAATTACCCATCTTTTCCCTGAAAATTTAAGAATAACAAATTTTACCTGTACTTTTTTTTTTTATTTGTTATATATATGAGGTAAATTAATATTTTTATTTATTTATTTATTTGTTTATTAAGAGGTTATGAAGGGGTTGTGGGCAAAAAAGCAAAAAATTCAACAGCAGCAGCAAAGGAGTGAGAAGCTTTGCAATATGATGAGAGAGAAAGATAGTTCAGATTTTCAGACACAAGTTGGGAAAAAAACTGATGTGAATAAAACCAGTCAGGTGAAATTAATTTCTTCTTATTTGTTTATTAACTTATGCACTACTAATTATTTTTTTGACTTATATTGTTGATTTTATTTTTCTTATAATAATTAGTTTTGGCAAGATTAGATTAATTTCTTCTTGAGGCATTTTCTTCCATTACCCTTTTAGCTGCATTTGCAATCATAAATATTTATCACTAAGTCTGTCTGCTGTTACGTTGTCTAACCGTTAAGCAAGCAGTTCCTTCGGGGACATTCTATAAAATCGGAACGATACAGATAAGATTAGCATGGCCCTTGCGCAAGAACGACACGCATAAATCGAAAAAAGCAAGCAGTCATATTTTTTCACATAAAATGCGCACTACTTATATTATAAAATTTCATATTTTTGTTTATATTATAATCTATAAATATGACATTTAAGTCTGAAAGTATATATTTTGTTGAAAAATTATATAATATTGGAAAATTTTGACAAGGCAATCCCATAAATAAATGTTAATATTTAAGACCAGACACCTAATTCCTAATGTCCCCCAACAATAATTTGTCTTACTTACCTTAATATATATTTTAATTATATATATATATACACAAAAATTCTATGGAGCAATCGAATTGTTTTCTTATGGAGTCATCTATTGCTTAATATATTGACACTTGTCTAAATTGTATTTATTGTAAGACACGTGTCAATACACTATTGGTGAATAAGTGTGAATTGCTCCATAAGTCGAGCCATCCGGTTGCTCCATAGCAAAACTGTATATATATAATGTATATTTTGTTTTGTCAGGTGAAACACGAAAGGCAAAGGTCAAGAAATAACAGATCATGGCAACCTGCATTGAAGAGCATTTCTGAGGCTGCAATTTGATATTCATTTCCATTTTAATTTTTTTTTCTTCCTTTTTTTTGGGTCTGTTGTTTTTAGGTTTAATTTGGAAAATACTTGACTTGTAATAATAAAAGAAAAAAGAGAGGAAAATGAAGAAAAAAAAATTGGAGAAGGTTGTTATAAATATTTCTCTATTTAATTAATTAGGCTGAAACTCTAGAAGTTCTTCTCATGTTAATATTTCTCCAAAAATAGAAAAGATAAATTATACTATTAATCAATATATATGGACTCAATTTTAACATTTACATAAGTTGAGGAGCTAAATTGAAATTTTAAAATTTTAGTAGAACAACTTTCTACTTATCAAGTCCTTTACATTTTTTGCCCTTGTCATTAGATGTTATTTTCAGATGAAAAAGGGAAGAAAACATTGTTTACATGCAAGTTAACAATAGAGAATATTTCATTATCTCCAACTAATAACACAATCCATATAAACTAATAACACATTATATTTTTTTGTTTTTTTTAGGGTACGATATTTCGAATTTAGATATATTTTTATATTTGTTAAAAATGTACTCATGACCTATTCATTAGATCCGAGTAATTTGATTAACAATCCAATTTATCGAGCCAACTGTCGGTTTCATAGTAAAACCGTACATTATTGACAATAATAACAACTTGTTGATTTGTGTATTAAATAAATGGGTCCAAATAAACGTTATTATATGATCGATGTAGGTCAAAAAGAAAAGCCAAGAAAAAAGATGAGGGAAAATAATATTTTATGTCATATAATTAATTTAGTACATGGTCAACACGTAACGTAATCATGAAAATGAAAATAGATAAATAAACTTATTGAAAAAAAAAAAATAATAATCAAAGATGATTACAAAAAAATCTTGTTTAATTAAATTAATCCCAATCTAAATGGCCTCCAGTGCGAACTTAACTAGTCATTAAATCCCACCACTTGCTTCGTTTAGGATAACATCAATCAACTCTACCTCTGCACAAAGAATGTTATAATAATGTTCCACTAAGCAACATCAAATCAAACAATAACAATAATAATAGATATTTTGACTCTTGTTTACTAGGAGATATATTGTTGTTAATTTAGCATATTACACTTTTATCTAAAGGTTTGATCAATCAAATCTGCTAATTGACTTTTTGATAATGAGTTTATTTGATTAGTTTTTTGGACTCCAAATAATAGCTCTATAAAAAAAAAAAAAACTCGAAAGAGAATCATTTTATGAAGAACTGATTGCAATACAACGTAACAAATCATTATATTTTTTTTGGTGTTACTATCAGTTAATTGCCAAACAAAGCCATAGAAAATCTACGGATCATAATATTGCATTGTTTAAACCGCGCACAAAACATGATACCGAATATTAAATATAAAAAAAAAAAATGAAAAACAATAATTCAATACTAACGTAACACGGAATACGTATTGTCACTTTTACAGTAAAAACAAGGTATATGTACTTTTATTTCCAATTAATGAATTTAATTCCTAAAAACTGAGGTACATTTATATATTTATTAATATATAAAAAATAAGTGGACAAAAAACAAAAAACAATGAAGGAAGTGGAACAAAATAAAAATCACGTATTCACTAAATACGGTTTCTTCACAATTTGGTTGGAAAACGTATTCATGAAATACGTTTTTACAGAATTTTTATAAAGAAAAATGTATTCATGAAATACGTTTTTCAATTAAATTTTGTAAAAAACGTATTTCATAAATACGTGTTTTTTATTTATTTCCACACCCCTCTTTTTGTTTTTTTTTTTTTTTTTTTTTTTTTTTTTTTTTTTTTTTCTGTCCACCACTTGTGCTCAAGATTTTTTTTCGTAAAAAATTCATCTGAATTTCCTCATGCTCTATCAAAAACACATGATAATAATTACAAAAAGCTGCACATTTAATATAATTTTTATGTTTACCTTTTGAGACATTAACGTTGGAAAACTAGATAGCATAGAAGATGGAATGGTTATATATGTTTAAAAAAGAGGCCCTTCGTTAACTCAACTTAATAAAGTTTGGGTTCAATCATTAATATTGATAAACGAACTGAATTCAAATTTGTTTAGTTTACGAGCCACTCGGCTCGACTCAAATTGATAAAGATTGACACGAGATCGAGCATCGAGAGTTCGAGCTACTTCAAATTAATTAAAATTTTCTTGTACATCTTGATTATTAATCACTAGTTTTTGGCCCGTGCATTTGCACGGAAAGCTATATGATAAAAGAGAATAAAGTAAAAAAAAAAACAAATATAAAAATAATAACATAATCATTGAAACAAAATAAGAAATAATATCTAAATATTATTAAATATTTCTTTATATACAACGTTCGTGGTTTTTCTATCGTCACAATCTCCACCAACACAAATTATTATCTCCAAACTCCTCCGACTGATGACTCTAGATCGTGCCACATACAATTGTCCATGACTTAATACATGATTCTTCATTAGTAAATTGAAGCCTTGGAGGAGTACGTCAACAAATCTCTTGTCAACACCTTTTGAAGATGGTAGTTTGCACATTTTGGTACATGACTATTCTAACGATTATATCTTCAAAATAATAATAATAACAACAATAATAATAAAAAAATAATTGATTGATATAATTAAAACAACAAAGGAAAATGTAATAGCTATTTATAAAGACAAAAAATTAAACAGTACCTATAAGTATAGTTGGGTTAACAAACTTGGAACTATTGTACCCTCACTTGGCGTGTACCATGTCCCGAGTTCGAGTCACTCGGAGGGGAATTGGGGAACCAGTTTAGATCCTCCTTTTTAAGAAGAAAAAAACAAACTTGGGACTATTTAAATCCTTGAAATTTTTGAACTTGTACATGGAAGAATTTATAAACACCGCCAGTTTTGTTTTTCCATAAAATAAGAATATATTGAAATTCATCCATGTTTTGAAGGAGTTAGTATTGGGATTATAAACAAATTTATCTGGCCATCATAATTTAGCTAAGTATTAATTTATTTAAATTAATATAAATAATTCAAATTATAATGTGTCTGATCTTTGGGATTAATTTTTGCAAAATAAATATGAATAAACAACTGTTATAAGTCATTCTTTTGCTGATGGGGATTTTCCAATTACGGAGAATAATTATCATAATTATTTTATTAATAATTATAATAAGCAATTTGGAAGTGACATAATGTGAAGGAAATGATAATAATATAAGTCATTCTAGTGACACGGAGAAAAATACTTAGAAAAAATAATAATATAAAAAAATACATAACCATAATTCATTTCATGAGAAAAAATATGAATTAAGAAAATGATTTTAAATTTTATTAAACATATTGTTTGTATACAATATTTATGG